TGAAGCAGTTCAGTGTCGTGTTAAGCAAAAGTGATGATGGCTCGGCCCATCCCCAACTTAGTCATCATTTTTTTATTATTATTTTACCTGCAAAAGAAAGAAAAAACTCGAAAAACAAAATTGGAAGAAAAATAAACGAAAAAAAAAAATTCAAATTAATCCTAGAGCTAATTAGTATTGATATTAATCAACATTAAAATTCAAAGTAAAATTAGAGTTATTTAGTATCGATATTAGCAAAAACAAAACAATCACCGGCAACGGCGCCAAAAACTTGTTGTGAAAAATCGTAACGCAAGTATACGCTATCGCAATCAAGTAATATAATAGTGAATAAGAATATCATCCCACGAGGATTGTTGTTTACTAATTACCGAAATTATATTAACCCTAATTTTATTTGAATAATTGACAAGTGAGTTTATAAAATTAAGTAAAGTAAAACTAAAACGATTAAATAAATCAAACAACGCCAAACAATGGAATTATATTCAATAGATTAAGACTCTAGGGTTTTTGATTTCACCAAAATTAATCCTGTTCAAATTCCCATAATTCAAGAAAATTAACATTCAATCCTATACTCACAGCAATTTCTCTAAAGCAATTATTATTCTTTCTCAAGCAATGATAATATTAGTCCAACAAGCAAAATCTACATCTCTGTTAGACTTCTAAACCTGTTGAAAATCATTAAGTGCAAGAAATTCAAAAGAACTGCACAAGCATCATAGATATCTCTATCCTATGAACAACTCACGGTATTTCAATTAAGAGCATATTTAATTATCACCTCTCGGTCTCAAATCAAATACAAAATCATGTAATAGTTAGCCAAACAATCACAAGCATTAAGAATAAATTGAAATACTCAGCATATATAGATTAAACATCAATTACTTACAAATAAGATTGAGAATCTGAACATTCATAATCCGGCTACATCGTAGCCCTAGAAAAAGGAATTAGTTCATCTCTAAACAAAATAAATTCCTAAACAAAATCTTAATCATTGGAAAGGAAAGAAAAGAACTAGTTTTGAGTTGAATTGAAGCGTCTACGTCTCCGGATTTGAGCCGTTCTTCTTCTCCATACCCAATTCTCCTTTTCTTCTCTCAAATCTTCTCTCAAAAGCCAGCCGTCACTCCACAGTCAAAAAGTCCCTTCTAATTGCCCTAGAATCATCTATTTATATGTTTCGGAGCATTATGGTCAAAATAGGTAAGTTTTCTCGTGATTGGCCTTCAAAATGCATCTTTTCTCGTGTCATAGCGCCGCGGTGTTGAGTTCCTAGTGTTGCGATGCTACTGTGTAAAAATCCTGGGCTCTGCGGCGCTGTCATGGGTGCCAAAGCGCTGCCCATTCAGCCCCACTGCACTGATTCCATAAAACTCAACGCCAAGGCACTACAAATTGGCGCCTAAGCATTATGTTTGCTGTCTTTTTCCATCGAAATTTGTCCAAAACCTTCCAAATCATAGAATTTCACCTATCCTTCAAACAAAGAATGAAAACACACATAAAAACTAACAAAAACCTCGAAAAATAACTAGATATTAAGTGTAAAATGATACTAAATGAGCGAGTAAAACTCACTCATCAGACTCCCTCTCTCTCAATTCCTTCTTTTGTTTATGAGACAAGTATATTGTGTTTGTTGGACATGTGTCGATTTACAATTCACAAAAAAAAAAAAAAAAAAAAAAAAAAAAAAAAAAAAAAAAACGAAACAAAACAAAACGAAGAAGAAGAAGAAGAAGAAGAAGAAGAAGAAGAAGAAGAAGAAGAAGAAGAAGAAGAAGAAGAGAAAAAACCAATAGATTTGGACTTTCTGCCGTTGCTTCTTTCCTGATAAAATAAATGAATAATCTTCTAGCTTCGACTGTTCAAGATTATTTAGAGGCTGACGTGATTTAGCTTGAGTCAAAACTAATAGTCTGGACAATATACAGATCTTTTTTGGTTGGATTATAGCGTATGGATTAGTCTCTATGCCCTTCCTTAGGATCCAGATAAAATAACTGAAAGTGATTGTTAAGGTCAGATTTCGTATCTCATCTTTTACTGTGTATGCGGGAATTTGAGCTCTGAAAGGTCACTAAACGAGTCACCACAATTCCTCAAGTAGGTTAAAGCGACTAGTCCACTGGTCAGTACCATCGGTCGATCCCACGAGTTGACAAACAACCTTGGGCATCAAGTCATGAGAGAATATCCTCAAGACATTCCTTATACGGTATTTGACAACAGAATCAACGAGAAAAGAAAAAAAATCAACTGCTCCAGCTAGAAGAATTTATGAGGAAAAAGGTCAACAGTTGACTTAGGTCACAAGAAACCCTCTCATTGGATGAAATTGATCGTCTTCCACATAAGGAAACTATATCTCAGCAATGAGGCAATAAAGAGGCCGGATCAACTCAAAATGGGCAGAAAACCATGGTTGACTAGTCGATTATACACAAAACCAGTTAAAGAAAGTCACGCAGCGTCCAAAAAGAAAGGGAATATCACGAATTGAAAGCCATGACGCAGAGAATCAGAAAACAACTCGTGGAGCCTCATCAACTATAAATACAAGGAATTTAGACACCGTTCGGCATGCTTCCACAATACACAAAAGCTACCACTCTCGCTTACAGTATATTTCTTTATTATTTACTGTACTTTCTAGCACACTTCTCTCTTTTTCATTTTGTTCTTTTCAGAATGACTCTTGTAACATTTCTCAACAATCATAGTGAAACTACCGGAGCCCTATAGTGGACGCTCCCGTTCTCGTAGCGGATCAATTTCACTACCTTAAATTCTCTAGTTGTAGATTTTAGCCTCCACAGCGATCAACATCTTATAAATTTGATTTGACATCGTTGTTTATAACATGTCTGTTGCTATTTATATCAATAAACTTTTGTTTCGATTTTTCGTTTAATTTGTTGTCATTTTCAGTGCATGTCGCTTCTTATTTTCTCCTCGTACGTTTCCGAACATTTAGCAATATTTTATGGTGTTTTTCCTTGGTGTTGCCAATTTCCTTGAATTGTTGTTTTATTTTTCATCTTTTTATTCACTTTGCTATCATTTTTAGCTTCCTAGTACATTGACGTTGTCGTTTCTTAGTTTAATGTAGCTTTTTGTTGTCGATTTTTCGTTGAACGTTGTGTAGCATTCACTGTCATTTTTTACTCCACTGTGTCCTTTTTATCCTTTGGCGATATTTTCTCGCTTATCTTTATTATGTTGTCGTTTTCTTCGACTTGTAGTTTTATCATTTGTCGCCTATGCAGTGCTATAGAGTATCAATTTTCACCTTTCAATAAATTGTTATTGTTGTTTCTCTAACTTTTATCAGTTTTTTTCTACTGTCGTATATTATCGTTTTGGCAATTTTTTGTCGTTTGTCTGTATATTAGGTTTGGGGACGTGTCGTATTACTGTGTACGTGAGTCAGCTGAGCAACCATATTAGAGAAACGCATTTTGATTTTAAACATATAATAGTAGGAGAGATTAAAAGATAATTAAATATATTTTTTTAGCAATTAAAAAAATTAGATTTAGAAAAATAAGTGGATCAAAATTCATGTTTTCATACATACGTATACATTATTAATATATCATACTTAATATTATATATTATACTATATATTTATATGAAAAATAGGATATAATTAATTGGGGTGGGTAAATGGGGAATAGGGTTTTTAATTTTGTCCCAGTGTTGCGACCAGTAGCAGGTTGAAACTTTAATCCATTTCAATCCCACACCATTTAAACCAGATTTTTCCCAGCATATTTAAGGCAGTTCCCACGAGTAAATAGATTTTCGAATAAAATTAGATCCCTTCATGCACATGTAGTGGTGGAGCCAACCTTTCACTTCAGTAGGGGCGTACACTAAATTTTTTTAACAAATTAATAACATGAAAAATATGAAAAATTATCATAGTATTTTTCATTAGCTACAAAATACATATATTAAAAATTCATAAGACATATTACAATAAGAAACGACGAGTTTTTATTTTTTGAAAACGCTGCATAATATTTTTATTGTCAACATGATCAAAAAAAAATTTCTCGATGTATACGATAAAACTGTCATTCATACATTGCTCTCTGATTCGATTTCGTAACCGATTCTTCACAATATTCATGGCTGAAAATATTCTCTCCACATTAGCAGTAGCAACCGGTAAAATCAATGCCGAAGTAATCAACAAATAAACTAATGGATACACATTATTCTTTCTTGTCTCAACCATTTTCTGTGCAAGAGCACAAATACCTTTCAATCCAGTAAAATCTTTACTCGGTCGCATATCAATGATATAAGTTTCAAGTTGATTCTCCAAGATCATAAGTTCGGCCACAGAAAAATCTTCAGGATAATACTTAGGAAGCTCAGTCAACTTTCTCTTATCAAAAGCAACAAATGAATCATTTGGACATAAGCAAGCTACACAGAGAAGCAACTCAGTATTTACCTCAGTGAAACGATCATTTAATTCTTGAAGTTGCATATCAATGACAGAGTAAAATAACTCCACGCAAAATTGGTGTAAGTTTGTAACTTCTTGAGCTTTGCGTCGTGATCTACCCCACGCTCTAAAGATGTCATTCATGTTGGGAATATCAATGTTGTGATTTTGGCAAAATGAAGAGACTTGATCAAAAAGAGAATCCCACCCACTATCTCTCATCGTTTACAACCGTTGTTTGCATATTTTCTCTAAACTCATGGCATTCACAATATCTTGATCTTTTCTTTGCAATGCCTTTGACAGCTCATTCGTAACAACTAATATATTTCTCATCAAATGAAGACTAAACACAAAATCAAATGATTGGATCGATTCCACTAATGACCACGAAATGCAAGCCCTTGTCTTAAAAGAAATCGAATACAATCCACTGATGCATTTAGACGAGTTTGATAGTCATTGCGAGCTTCTGTTGTTTGCTTTTCCAAAATTTTATCGATATGTTGCTCTTGATTCATCACGGCTTCACATTTTCTCCAAGCTTTAGTATGAGCACTATTGGGACCTCCAACATGAACTTGCAATCTTTCTTTCTTCTTCCAATTTGAAAATCCTTTGCCAACAAAGGAGTCACCACCTGCATGCTCCCCTTTAATTACATGATTTAAAAAGATAACAACACAAACAAAATGCAGCATCTTTTGATATACCTGTATTCTAGCCAATTTGAACATTCCTTAAACCAATCAGGATTGAATCCTCTCGCTTCTTTTGTAAATTGTTTCAATGGAAAATTATGCTTTGAAGGCTGACAACGACCATTATTCATATATTTTCTTCGAACTTCATCTCGAACATTAGGATTGTAATCCAAAATTGAAGGCCTCAATCCAGGATCTGTTGGGAGATTTTCAGGGTTGTACTCCACCAAAGTTTTTGTAACTTTATTTTTTTCACTAGGACTAGGAAGTGTTGTCTCATCTGACTTTCTTTTCAAAAACTTCCACATTGCTGTTATAAAGAAAAAAATTGATAATGATATTATTAATGAATTCCAATAAGTTATAATCATTTCAAAACTTATATAACTTTCTAAAAGAATATTTCAAACTAAAAAAAAAAAAGAAAACTTCAGGCTTGGAAGAGCTAATTAAAAAAGAAAACCATTTACCATGATATCTGGATTTTATTTTTGTCTTCCAATACACAGATGTAAATAAATTTTTTTTTTTGCTGGAAGAGAAAAATACGGCAGTTAGTTATAAACAAAAAATGGCCAGTAAAATAAATAGAAGGGCATTTTTAGGGTGTCAAAAAATACAATTTTTAAAAAAAGGCCATATATGTGATATTTGTAAAAGTAAGCCACATTTTAATTCAACTCTTAAAAAAGGGTCACATCTTGTAATTTTTACCCAAAATTAATACTCCTCATTTATTATATATTTCTATAACGTCATTCACTTTACATTAATTAAAAACCAAAAACTAAATGACCTAAAAATTTGAATTAGAACTGCATTTGGGGAGGATCATGGGTGGAAGTCGATACTCTTTATACGCATATATACAAACAGGCTAGCTCATTCTAGGAGAGCTCAACCGAACCTAAATTAAATATTATCATTTATTTTAAACGGCTAGCTCTTATTTAATTTTTTATTTTTTATTTTTTTGTTTTATATAAGATGGAATTGAACCAACTTCTCTAAATCTCTCTCCACCCGAACTTTTAATACCATTAAACCAAGAGGTCACTACACCACAAAAGGCCTTTCGTAGTTAGCAAAAAACGCTATTAATCACTATCAATAGCACTTTTTAGAGCGCTAGGACAGCGGGCGCTATTATAGATCCTAAGAAAACATAGCGTTTCAGGAGAGTTATAAAAAGCGCTATAGAATTGAAGTATTATAACGTGTAAGAAAAGTTATTTTCATCCTCTTACAGCTTTTTAGCATAACTACGATACAAATTAATAACTTTTTTTCCTTGTTATGTTCATACTGTTGTAACTTTTTAAAATTATTATTGATATCCTTTTGAATTCATTCAAATAAATGGTAATTCCGAGATATGTGATATATCTAAATAGGAACATTCAAATTAAAACATAAAAACATTCAACATATCAATTGTTATCAATATCTACCAAGCTGTCAATAAAATTACGTCTACAACATAATTCATAGTGTCCAAAACCTTAACATTCAAAACAAGTATAAAGAAAACAGAGAAGTCATCTCCAAAACGTCTAAGTGCAATGGTGAAGTAAATCCTTCCATCTTGACATAATACTTCAACAAAAAAGTCAACTCCATTGTTTAACCTGTAAGAAAATGATCCACTATCAAAACAATAATCAAACTCAACTAAAACTTCCATCATTTAACCTATAAATAAAGCAGTGACCAGAAACTACAAAAAGGAAAAACAAAAAACAAAAAACGGGTAAAATGTACACTGTGAGCATACCTTGCCAGACTGCTTCTCGAGCTTCTCTTGCCCAATTTTCTGAAATTGCAAACATGACACCATTGCAATAGGAAGTAAGACAATGATGCAGAAAAACTGAAGCAGTCGTAGAGTTATAACAATCTTATAATTTCCAGAAACACAACATACATACAAATAGTACTTGCCAAACATAACTCAAATAGTTCAGGCATATGGCCCACAAGATTTATGCTTGACAACATGAGCCACTCTTAGTTGGAACAAAAATGGGAGCTATATAATTGCTAATTTAATCCTTCTTTGTACCTGATCTCTTTAGGAACATGAGACCAAGTATGATCATCAAAGGTAATGACAATATAACCTTCACAAATATGCATGAGTGCCCACACTGGAATTCATTCAATTGTAGAAAGGCATGATGAACGAACTATAAATACTCTGCTTGAACGAACTACAAAATCTGGTTAAGAAAATGGAACACATACGTGTAATGCTGGTGGTTGTTTCGCAAAATAACATTGTGGCACATTGAATTCTGGATCACCCTTAGCTGGCTCATCTGACCAAGGTGCATACACGCATGTAGATAAGTCGCAATGAATTTCCATTAAGAAAATACCAAAAAAAAAAACCAATCTACAGGGAGTTACTTTAAAAATACACACTGATTTCTTTGTATTTGGATCTTTCAATTATTTCCACGTTTCCAGGTGTTGGTTCTTTTTTTCTTGGTACACAAACTAGTTTGCTTTTCACAATCTCTAATTAACCACAACTTAGATTTGCAAAAATGAAACAGACTCTCATGTTTCCATTTGAAACCACCGAATCAGATAAGAAAAAGAACTATTTGCAACACCAGATGATCATACCTGGGAATGATAAGATGAATGTGAAGATGGAAACATATCAGAGCCATGCACGTGCAGCAGATCTTGATTGTTTCCAGGTGTGAAGGACACACCACTACTGCTGACTGATGGAGCATGTTGCTGTTGCTGCTGAGGTCGATGAGATGAATATGTTGCTCCGAGATTGAATCCAACAGACCTCCCCATCTGGGTATTGAAACATGGAAGTATTAAGAGTAAACTCATAAGATAATAAGGACATGTAATTAAAAGAGAAAAACGATCTAAGACCTACGGAGAAATGCTGAGATTGCATCATTGACATGCTATTGTCGTGAAGTTGTTCTTTCTGGTGCATATCCATTGCATAATCAGCATTACCACCTGGGCAAGATTAATAACATGGTGAACACATACAGTTCCAAATCAACGTGTGGTAACCAGTACAGGTAATATCTGTGACAAGTACTGGTGGCATTAATAAAAGAAAAATACACTAGACACTAACTAACAACTAATGAAACATCCTAATTTACAAATGCACAAGACCAGAAAGCTTATAATTACATGCCATACAGGCAAGTAGTGGCACATTCACAAAGAAACCGATAGCACGAAGGGCATTGGATCTTGATACATATCACAGACATAGCCCACATACCAAAAAGGCCGAGTGCCACAGCCTACATACCAAACAGCCTGGAGGGAAAAAAAAAAAAAATTGGAGGGAAAAAAAAACAACAACAACAAAAAAAAAAGGTGATACCTGAAAAGGCAAGTAACCAAAAAAAAAAAAAAAAAACCATAAGGATTTGTTTTCTTTTCTGTTTGAAGCCAATTCCCCTCCTACTAATACACTCACTGCCACAATAAAAAAAAGAGAGAAAAAAGAATGAAGAACAAATTACAACCCCAAAATCTACAAGTGATGAAAGATAGAGTAAGCAGAGAAATTAGAGCCTAGTAAAACCAATGGAAGCAATGAAAACAGGACATCAACTTCGTAAACGGAAAATTCTTGTTCCGGTCATCTTTTGAGACTAAAGAATACAAACACAATGGACAATCACCATCCGGGTGATTCATTAAAGGAAGCCTCTCCACAGCTTCCTAGAAATACATTCAAACCACTCATTTAGCCAATTTTCTACATAAAGCATGTTCCACCTTTCCCTATATTTTAGAAGTTTTGTTAAAACCTTCAACAAGGGGAGTTTTTAAACATGATTTCTAGGTGGCTTGTAAATATATATATATATATATATATATATATATGTATATATATATATAAAACAAGAATCCATTAATGATAACCCATCAATTTCTCAAATGAAACCACAGAAATGATTTCCCAAGTCAAATTCCAATGACAGAAATGAGTTTACCTCACAAAGAGCCACGAGCATTAAACAAGAAGATAGTTCACTCGCTTTGTCTCGGATGTGAGTCACTAAAAGCTTTTGCCTTTGTTGATCAAGACCCTTTAACTCTATAAGATTAATCTAAGGTGACTCGTCGGGATACAATCACCCAAAAAAAAGAGAAAAAGAACAAGAAAGAAATTAAAGCACAAATCGGAAAAAAAAAATTCACATAATAAAATTGTATATGATCAAGTGATACCTTCGAGCCAGCTCGTATACTGATAATAGCTTCAACAAACTACAATGAATCAGCCAAAAAGGAATGCAAATTTTATTTCGTAAGATTTTAGTTGAATTTGAAAACCAAAAAAGAAAAGAAGAAGAACAAGAGCACTACACCTTTGGGAGCGAAAATGCAGAGAGAGAGAGAGAGAGGATTTCTCTCTGGGTAAACCTAGAGAACAGAAAGAGAAAGAGAGAGAGAGATTCGAACCTCCTTGGCCGGTAAACCTAGCTCTGAGCTTCGCATAGGAAGAGAGCTTCACGTGGAGATCATCTTCGATCTTCTTTCCACAACCCAATCTTCACAAAACCAGAAACCATGAGATTCTTCCCGTGAGATGGACTGGAAAATTAGGACATTTGGGGGAAAGTTGGATATATGACTGAACCTAACACCGGCCTTCAATTTCAGAGCAAATCCAGAGGAAGCTTACGGAATTTTGGGGAAAGAGAAGTGGTGGAGCGTGGTTTGTTCGACAGAGTGGGGGAAGGAGTTTTTATTTTTATTTTTTCCTTTCCTTGTTCGTATAAGGAAGAAGCAAAATCAAGCAAAATCAGATGACCCAAAAAGAAAAAAAGAGGGAGGATGAGCGGGAAAATTAGGGAAATTATTTCAAATGTCCGCCTGTTGTTATTTTAATGCGGTATATTTATATATTATTAAATATATATAAAATAAACCTGTCAAAATCTCATGAAATTTTAATTTTTATATATAAATATATTATAACTATTTCTAAACGCTATTATATATAGATGCAGTAACGTTTTTTGAAAAACGCTATAACTAACCGCTACGAAAAGCCTATTTTCTTGTAGTGGGTCTTAGGCAGCTTTAATTTAGTTTTAGTTAAGTCTACTTCCCTAATCCTTTAATGCTCTATTACATTTGTTTCACGTGGATATCAATGGCTTTTCTTTTATTTTAAACCAACTAATTCCTTTTCTTTTCTTTTTTCATTAAGTACTGTTAAGAAGTAAAGTAGTTAGATACACGTGTAATTCTCTTATTAGTTGAGCTTAGTCTACTACTACTAAGTTATATATAAATAGGTGGTTGTAACAGTTTTCAATGGTAATGAGAATCAGTTTCATTTTCTCAATCTTCGTTTAGTTTTCTCTTTCAAGATTCTGTTGAAAAGCTTTCTTTACAAGCTTTTCTTATATGGTATCAAAGCCTTCACCGGTGACGGAATTTCTTTTTCTCAGCAATCGCCATGGATGCTTCTGGAGCTGCTTCCTCTTCTACTCGGTTTGTTCCAATTACCTTTGCTCATTCGATTTCGTCAAAACTAGATCATAATAATTTTCTGGTATGGCGGAGACAAGTTCTTGCCACAGTTCGTGGTCATCGTCTTTAGGATTTTCTTTCTGTTTCTGTAAGATCTCCTCCGAGGTTTCTTTCTCCGGAGGATGAGCTTCTTCGTGTGGTCAATCCAGCGTTTCTGGAGTGGGAGCAACAAGATCAGTTACTTGTGTCCTGGATGCTTGCTTCAATGTCTGATTCGGTTCTTGCTCGTATGGTGAATTACGAAACAGCAGCCCAGGTTTGGCACACAACTGACATCTATTTTGCTTCACAAATTAGAGTCAAAAAGTCTCAATTCAAGACTCAATTACAAAATACTCGCAAAGATTCTTTAACTGCAAATGAGTATCTTCTTCGTGTTAGGCATTTCGTTGATATGGTTGCCCTAGTTGGCAATGAGATTTCTGTTAAGGATCATATAGATGCAATTTTTAATGGTTTGCCTCCTAAATATGATATCTTGGAAATTAGTGTGAATTCAAGCTTTGCTGATTATTCAGTTGAAGAAGTAGAATCTCTAATTTTAGCTCAGGAAGCACGAATTGAAAGAGATATTAAGCTGAGTGATGGATCTGGCAATTCTGGCTCTTCCAGTCTCTCTTCTGCTAATCTAGTAATGACTGGTGGAAGGCCTGGCTTTAATCCCAGGTTTGGTGGTTTTAATTCTAGTCCAGGTCATTTTCCCCAAAAAGGTTATGGTGCCTCTAGTGCCAATGGTTTCTCTGGTCATTATGGGAATTCATTTGGCCGCAATTCTGGTTCTTCAAACAACAGAGGCAGGGGACGTTTTGGTTATGGTCGAGGCCAATCGTGGAATAGCAATAAAATTCAATGTCAACTTTGTGGGAAACAGGGTCATGTGGTTATGCAATGTTAATATCGTTTTGATAAGTCTTTCACTGGACCTTCTCAGTTCAGTCATCTGATTCAAGGCAACTTAGCTCATTGCCCAAGTCAACCTACAACGACAGAGTCTATTCAAATGGGTGCAATGCTTGCTACTCCAGAGACTGTTGTTGATTCATCTTGGTATGCTGATGATTCCTCTAATGTCGAGTGGTATCCAGATTCAGGAGCTACGAATCACTTGACTGCAGATTACTCCAATCTCATGACATGTTCTGAGTTCTGTGGTACAGACCAGGTGCACATGGGAAATGGTAAGGGTCTAGCTATAAAGCATATTGGTTCTTCCACGTTTAGTAGTCCTCTTGTTTCCTCTATGTCACTTACTCTTAAACACTTATTACATGTGCCTGAAATACTTAAAAATCTGTTATGTGTTTCCAAGTTTGCTGCTGACAATCAAGTATTTTTTGAGTTTCATCCTTTTTCTTGTTTTGTCAAGGATCTCACTTCCAAGATGGTGCTGTTGGAGGGTCGGCTTAAAGATGGTCTTTATGTGTTTGACAACACTCAGATCTATCTCAAGCCTACTGTTCCAATTCCAGTCATTCCTTTGATTAATCCTCTCTCTATTTCTCACTGTACCAATAAAACTACTTCATTGTTTCCTGTTGTTCAGGCATGTACTGGTAAGGTTAAGCTTTCTAGCTTTGGTCTTTGGCATAACAGGTTAGGACATCCTGCAAACAAGATTGTCCAACTTGTATTGAACAATTGTAATCTTTCTGCCAATAATAAAGTCTATGTTCCTTTTTGCAAATCTTGTTGTTTAGGGAAAATTCACAAATTTCCCTTTTCTCTTTCTCAGACCACTTACACTAAACCCTTACAACTTATTCATTTTGATTTATGGGGTCCCTCACCTGCTTTGTCTTCTAGTGGATATAGATACTACATTCATTTCATTGATGCATATTCACGTTTTACATGGTTTTACCTTCTCCGAACCAAGGCAGAAGCTTTACAAGCTTTTTTCAACTTCAAAACCCGAGTGGAAAAACAGCTTGATTTACCCATTAAGTGTCTTCAAATGGATTGGGGAGGAGAGTTTAGAGCTTTCACCGATCTCCTAATTCAACATGGGGTTGAACATAGGCATCCCTGTCCACATACACATGAGCAAAATGGGGTAGCTGAACGCAAACACCGTCACATAGTTGAAACAGGCTTGACTCTTCTTGCACAAGCCTCCATGCCCCTCAAATATTGGGATGAGGCTTTTCGTACCTCTGTTTTTCTCATAAACAGGTTACCTACACTAGTTCTTCAAAACAAAACACCCCTTGAGGTTCTTTTTCAAACCAAACCAGTCTATTCACAACTCAAAGTCTTTGGCTGTGCATGTTATCCTAATATTCGGCCTTATAATAGAAACAAATTGCAATTCAGGTCTATACCATGTACTTTTATTGGCTATAGCATCAAGCATAAATGTTACAAGTGTTTAGATCCATCTGGGAGAATATATATTTCCAGGGACATCATTTTTGATGAATCTTCTTTTCCTTTTGCAAAACTTCCACAAACTGCCTCAGTAACTTCTGATCAGCCCAGTGTTTCACCCTTAACAATTCCATTTAGATCATAATAATTTTCTGGTATGGCGGAGACAAGTTCTTGCCACAGTTCGTGGTCATCGTCTTTAGGATTTTCTTTCTGTTTCTGTAAGATCTCCTCCGAGGTTTCTTTCTCCGGAGGATGAGCTTCTTCGTGTGGTCAATCCAGCGTTTCTGGAGTGGGAGCAACAAGATCAGTTACTTGTGTCCTGGATGCTTGCTTCAATGTCTGATTCGGTTCTTGCTCGTATGGTGAATTACGAAACAGCAGCCCAGGTTTGGCACACAACTGACATCTATTTTGCTTCACAAATTAGAGTCAAAAAGTCTCAATTCAAGACTCAATTACAAAATACTCGCAAAGATTCTTTAACTGCAAATGAGTATCTTCTTCGTGTTAGGCATTTCGTTGATATGGTTGCCCTAGTTGGCAATGAGATTTCTGTTAAGGATCATATAGATGCAATTTTTAATGGTTTGCCTCCTAAATATGATATCTTGGAAATTAGTGTGAATTCAAGCTTTGCTGATTATTCAGTTGAAGAAGTAGAATCTCTAATTTTAGCTCAGGAAGCACGAATTGAAAGAGATATTAAGCTGAGTGATGGATCTGGCAATTCTGGCTCTTCCAGTCTCTCTTCTGCTAATCTAGTAATGACTGGTGGAAGGCCTGGCTTTAATCCCAGGTTTGGTGGTTTTAATTCTAGTCCAGGTCATTTTCCCCAAAAAGGTTATGGTGCCTCTAGTGCCAATGGTTTCTCTGGTCATTATGGGAATCCATTTGGTCACAATTCTGGTTCTTCAAACAACAGAGGCAGGGGACGTTTTGGTTATGGTCGAGGCCAATCGTGGAATAGCAATAAAATTCAATGTCAACTTTGTGGGAAACAGGGTCATGTGGTTATGCAATGTTACTATCGTTTTGATAAGTCTTTCACTAGACCTTCTCAGTTCAGTCATCAGATTCAAGGCAACTTAGCTCATTGCCCAAGTCAACCTACAACGACAGAGTCTATTCAAATGGGTGCAATGCTTGCTACTCCAGAGACTGTTGTTGATTCATCTTGGTATGCTGATGATTCCTCTAATGTCGAGTGGTATCCAGATTCAGGAGCTACGAATCACTTGACTGCAGATTACTCCAATCTCATGACATGTTCTGAGTTCTGTGGTACAGACCAGGTGCACATGGGAAATGGTAAGGGTCTAGCTATAAAGCATATTGGTTCTTCCACGTTTAGTAGTCCTCTTGTTTCCTCTATGTCACTTACTCTTAAACACTTATTACATGTGCCTGAAATACTTAAAAATCTGTTATGTGTTTCCAAGTTTGCTGCTGACAATCAAGTCTTTTTTTAGTTTCATCCTTTTTCTTGTTTTGTCAAGGACCTCACTTCCAAGATGGTGTGACGACCCTCCTATGAGGCCGCCACTGTAACTTAAACTTTTTAACTTGTACTTACTGGGGTTTCTTAAAATATGCGGAACATTTTTTTTTTTTTTATATAAGAAGGAATACTTTCATAATTTGTAACAATAATTTCAAATAAGTGAATCACTAAATTTCTTAAAGCTTTTCTTAATTTTAGTTAAGATAAAACCTTTTAGGAATATCCTTCAAATGGAATAGCATTTGAACTCTTGTTTCAAATACTCTTTAAAAGCTTTTCTAAAACTAGTCATTTCAATCGGCCATCTCATTTGACTTTAAAACGGATTTCGTGAGAAATCTTAAATTCAAGTACATCTTAAAGTCCTTCTAAAATTACTCATTTAAATCG